TAGCTTTTGAAATCCAATTTTCAATTTGGTAATTGTACCTGTAAAATGGGCATAAATCGTTTTAGTCTTGCAACATGTTCCTTCACAGTTGGTTTATTTTGATCGAAATTCTTGGTCACCTCCTGCAATTCCTGGTTGTGTTGCTGTAGTGAAAAGCTAGCACAAAGATTYTGCAGATGCTCTGTATTTGAGCCAACAGCATTGGGTGACAAAAAAGACTTTAAATGTTCTGGCTCAAAGGATGGTAAATATGSCTGCCTCATGTATTTCAACTGTTTTTCTTGATCCTCAAGGTACTTCAGTTGCATCTGCATCTGTAATCGTGCTGCAGCAACTGCTGGAGAATGATAGTCTGACATGCTGGCTTCCTGRTATTGAAGTAAAATATGCTTGTATAACAAGTTCAACATTTCTCTCTGATCTGGTGTAAGAGCTCCTTGCTGAACTGACTTCAGTCGCTCAGCCAGGAGTTGAAGCTGACTAATATACATTTGACAATGAGAAAGGTTCTGATGTTGCTTGATCTGTTGTTGTTGTTGTTGATGAAGCTGATGCTGCTGTTGAAGCTGCAATGCATATAACTGATTTGTAAGGATACTTTGACTAATAGATTGATTAGTATTGCAAGAACAACCACCAATGAGATGTGCTGCTGTGTCATGACAGTGATGTGTTGTCCCACATTCTCTAACAGCTGACTCTACCAGCCCATCATATGCACTTACCACAGGGGTTGCAAATACTTCACTRGCTCTAAAAGGGGACARACTTGCTGAGGAATGGGGAGGAGTATATTGCCTCATGTTAGAGTGACTAGGAGATCCAAGAAGTCCATGTTTTGGATCAACCATCTTGGATGTTGCCGTTTGTTGATCTCCTGGTGAAAGTCTTACGTGCGGTGGTGTTTTCTGTGGGGAACTGTAAGGTCTTTGAGGAGAGGGATGAATCAGGGAAGCACTGCTGGGTCTTTGAGGCGAGATATGCTGCCTGGAAGGACTGGAGCTGGTACGTAAAAGATCTTCCATGGAGCTATAGTGYGAACGATGATGAACTGGACTTGAAATTGGAGATGAAAGATGATGACCAGAGGATGATGAGTGTCCCAAGGATGATTGCACTGGGGAGGACATGTGGTTTTGATGTGTYGAAGTATTTTCTTGGTTTTGATAAGGTGATAAAAGTCTTAAATTTGAAGTGGGTTGGTTTGGYTGAGGTGATTCAGTGTATTCACTTGACTTTCTTTTGCTCTGCCTGCAATTGAATTCAAATTTAAGTTATATTAAAAGAACATATATCAGCCAGTCAAGAGATGATGTAGAGACAGTTGTCAAAACTTTTTTGTTTGGCATTTTTGTTATAACTATTTCATTATATATTTTTTTTATAACTAGTTCATTATTGAATGGAGACTAGATCATTAAACCGTAATGAAGTAAATAGTTAGAGAGACTTGAAAATTTCTACTCAAAATGTGCGTAATTATGGAATGGAGAGAAATGGCCCATAAATTGTAAGCAGAAAGCGTTTTTTTGTTGTTGTTGTTGTTGTTTTGTGAAGCCAGGATAATAGTTAATAAGTAGGAAGGAGGAACTTTGTGTTCAATTCAAACCTGGACGTATTGCTTTTCCGTCTTTTTTGTGTAGCTGACTTAGCAGWGGTTCCCTCTTGGGTTGTAGCTGGTGCTTTGTTTACGGTTAATGATGAAGAATATCTGGCACTGGAATCCTGTCCTGAATGACATGCATGTGGTTCGTTCCACATGTCATTTAAAAACTGCCACATCTGAAACCATTTCATAAGTCAAATCTAGCTTAATTGTTACAGTGCAAATAGAAAAACCATGGCCRCCTAGGAATATTTCGGGAATGTGTACTTGAAAAGTACTTTAGCTAACAAACAAGAAAACATGATGAGAAACATAAATGGACAAAGTTTGTGTTTATTCTAAACAACGAAATTGTACTATTTGTGAGCTTTATAGGCTGTTTTTTGTTATAAACTAGTTGAAGTTTTGATTAAACATGTTGAAGTTTTGATTAAATTAGCACGTGAAAATGCACTTGGTGACGGTTAATCTTGCTTCTGATTGGTCARYGAACAATRAACATTCCTGAAATGTTTCTAGGCGGCTACAGTTTTTCGATTTGYRCTGTAAGTATTATTGATATTATAATCTGTCATACTTTAGTTTATGAATCAACAACTATGAATGTATAATGACTTAAGCAAAGTAATTTGGCAAAAACATATATCAAATAACATGATTAAAAATAATAAATATCAGGTATAAAAGTATAACCCCATAATACTTACAGAGTTTCCAGAATTATTTGTTTCAGGAGATGGAGAAGTTATGACAACTGACTGTCGATTGCGGCGTGATGGAAGGACCCTGACTAAATCCCCTCTGAGCATACTGTCTAATTCCACCTCTGGAACAGCAGAAATGATTATAAGCTTATCATCAGCATTATTACTTAACACATATTAAAGAAAACTATGCTTTCAATAAAAAAAATTTCCACACAAAACAACTTATCATGTTGTGTGATTACCATTTGCCAATAAGAGAACCATCACAAGTCTTGGGTTGATTCTATGAGTCTGTAAGACAGTGTCATCCATCACATCCATTTCCTAAATAATATCACATTCCACATATTAGACCAAATGTTCTGTTATCACAATTACTCACTGAAGGAGAGTATGCACATAATGAAATGACCTTGTCTATGGGTAATGCTAAATGTAATATGTTTAGGAAATATGATTCAATTTATTCCCTTCAGGGTTAGCTGCCATGATATCAACTTTGAAACCTGYGTTGTTGTTTTTTTAATAAAGTGTATGCTGTAACTATTATGACATTATTTAAAGATCATGTTGTCACTCACCCTGGTAATGAGATCATGTGAAGTTATAACAGCAGAAAACCACTGTCTACACTTTTCTCTGTAATGCAAAATTTTCAGTCAGTCATCAACCTGTTTATCAATGATAAAGCTTTAAAACTGACTTAAAAGTCAGCAATAATCACTCAGGCAGTGAYGCAGGTGTTCAGTCAGTGACAGTCAGTTAAGTCAGCACTTTGACAGCCATATAGGTTAGATCATTCAAGGTCCACTTTTAGTACAAATTAGTATGACTTAGTTGTACAGTGCAATCACTCTATTTATATAAATTTATTCAGTTTTCAGACTGAATGTCTATCTCCAGGGCATCACAAGAAATTAGGTCAAATTTGTACATAAATCACGCTTTTTCATTCTTTACATTATACAAGTAAATACCAGAGAACAAAAATAAAGGGAAAAAACAAATTAAATAAAGGAAATATTAGAGAACAAAAATGATATTTCATTTCAGTTGATGCTTTCAAYTTATTAACTACATACAAGAGATCTGATTTAAACTATTTGCTTTAATCACATAAATTGAAAAATAATGTTTAAGCACTTTGTTTACCTGTATACTTGGACTCGAAACCCTGTTAAAGTAAACGGACCTGAAAAAAATAGCAATATAATTTGATCAATCACTGGATTTATAGGCAATCCTGTTATGCAAAAACTGTTTTCAAAAAAACTGTGAGACATTTTCTGGAGTGCATCCAGGATTTTCATTTTACATCCACGTGCAAGGCACTTAGTGAGGGAGTAACACTACATGTACATGTATAATCAAGCTGCCAATGSCAACACAACTCGAAGATTKATTGTGTAGAAAGATACAGTCCCTTTGATTGCGAGCTGCGTAGAGCTGGAAAATTCTATGGCAGAGCCTTCATTTAGTGTTTCATTTTAACATTAATTTGGGTTCTCCTAAAGCACGGGCCAGCACCTTCGTACAGTCATTTTTAAAACGAATTTGTAGGATCGGCCAGTCTTCTTTACTTTCTTCGACCTTTGTGACTGAACGCTAAGACGAATCAAATTATAATTTACTTTACAAATAGAATTTTAAGTGAACGATTTATGAATACAGTTTTCATTTTCCTTAAAATCTAATTATTTTTAACTTTGATTTTTGACAACCAGGATCGAGCACATGCACTTCAAGGACAAGTCTAACTGCAATTTATATAACATTGGTACGTATGGCCGAATGGAAGTGCCTTCGAATTCTAATTCAGAGGTCTGGGGTTCAAGACTCAGAGGAGCTGACAGTTCTTTAGATTTCTTTCTTTGCCAATAAATAAATAAATTCAATCAAATGTACGTAGAACAGGGAACCCAGTAACAGTAAATTAATGAGTTAATTACTAGAGAACAATGAGAATAAATTAATAGTTCTGAACACAAGTAACACAGGCTCAAGTTTACAGGAAAGTGAGTGACTGAGTGACTGAATGAGTGATTAAGTGAATGACAGATTCATCCCCCTCCAATAACTCTTCAATTGCTTTGTAATCTTCGAGTTAAAAATGAACATWAAGGAGATCCATTAGGGCTCAGTATTAAAGGGTACAAGTGTACACTGCTCCCATTAGCTGGACTTTCCCCTGACTGCACTCATGTAGAGCTGAATAGTACTTTAAAAACTGATTTTAGTGTAGAAAGAATATTTTACCATGAATAAGAATTCCTTGAGACTTCTGTAAAGTCTGCCAATTCATCAGCTCATTCACAACTTTTGAATTGTTTCTTAGTGCTGGTTGGAGGCCATCATCCTCTTGGTATTGACGCATTTCATTGCTTGTGCAAAATGTTCTAAAAATGGTACAATATAAATATTTTAGTTTCACACATAAATAATAGAAAAAAACTTAAAATATGGATGCATGAGAACAACATGAAATGGTGAATTCATAAGGAATGACAAATTTTTATAACCATTCATCAAGTTAATCTGCACTCATAACTCTAAGTCTAGCAGTCAACACTATTAGGCCAAGATCAATGCTTAATTCCATGCAACTACAACTACCATATCCTGCATCTCGGTTGCAAACAAAAAGTGTTTTCCTATACTGACCTCCCAGCCGGTAAACAACATTATACTTACCTCATGTGATCCCCTAAAAATTCAACACCAATAGAATTGCTTTCATCCAAACCATGCTTATCAACAAGACTGTAAAATGTCTGAAATATAACATAGATTGAAATAACTTTGAAATATTTCACAATATATAAATGGCATAACATTACTTTATTTCAATTTTAAATTTAAGAAATGTATTGTCCAGTACATGTGATACAATGTAGTTTGTATACTAACCCTAAGTCTTGTCTCAGAGAAGCCCTAACAACGGTTAAGGTTAAGCCCTAACCCTATTCTAAGCTGTCTGTAACCTTACTACAGGTCATTTTTAACCTTTTTAGATGGAAATCATGCGAAATAAGTAGCCAACATGACTATTTAGACTTAAGGGTGTACTGACATATCCGTTGCTAGGGAAATTCAGTAGTTCTCTAAAATGACAAACAAAAGTAAAAT